GCAAAAAATGAGCTGGATGGAATTTTTGTGTATTTTTATTCTATTAGGGTGTCCTGCATAAGGGATTTTGCCTGCGAAGCATGTAACTCTTGCGAACATAATATCTAAATACTGGTCCGAAGTAGACATACCTTGAGTCTTTTAGAAAAAGTTGGCTAAAATGGAAACTGCAAAAAGTCAAAATGTTCAACTCAAACAAAAGTCCAGCTATTTAATATTAACACTATGTATTATTTAATGTTTTTCAGATGTTTCAGGACCTTCATTAGTGTACAAGTGTCTAGAAATAAGATAATTAAGGACAAAAGTTGACATTTTTGATCATTTTCGCTTTCAGCAGTAACATACAGTTCCTTATGTTTTGAATTTTATGCTGACTGTTTGTTGCAATTTTGATCAAATCGGTTTTTGTACATGTCTTCTTCCGTTTAAGATACAAATAATGTATATTGGACCACCAATGGTCATATTAGTGCTTTCAGATCTCCCCTACCCCATTTATTATGAAAAATACCGAAAAATATGAAAGAGTAAAATAACTTAAAGGATCCGTACCCATTAGTGTACCTATAAGGACTTAGAAATTTTTCGAAAAGGGTAAATTGGAATTCCAGAATTATTCTTATATAATATGAATCTTTAAGAAGTATATTTTCAACAAATCACAAATATAATATTTAGAATATGGTAAAAAGTTGTTTTTTTACAGTGATTCTTAACACATGTCATTCTGACTCTTAAAATGAGTAATTTTCACATATTTTCACAAAACCTTTAATAAAATCTTGATTTTTGTAGATACACTAAATTTGACTTGTCAGTATAAAACTACATTGTGTCTGAGCATAATAACCTTCACTAAGCAGATCAACCATGCGTAGATACTTTGTAATCCTATTGTTTTGAAAGGCACCCTATTGTGTTCTTGTTTTTAAGAATGGATGACCTTCTACAGTCACCGACAGATTGAGGTGCTTCCGCAGGTCAGACCCCCTCTGGTTTCACCTTTATTGTTTAGTATTGACATTATTGCATAGTTCAAACATGAAATGAGAGAGGGTCCTGTCTGCGGAAGATATACAATGTGAAAGTATAGCAACAAATTTAGTTTCAAAAAGGAGGCCATATTGGATCTGCCAGACACCAAGGCAACAAACTATCAGTCAGATTTATCAGTCATGCATGCCTCTGAAGAGGATACGTTGCAGAGGAACTGAATTGATATCCATTTAGTCATTAAAGGGACACTGTTTGTAAGGTAGTTTTCATGCTAATGAACACTAAAATGTTTTAAACAAAGAATCAAATGGGTCAATCTTCTTTTGATTCATCAGTCATGTCTATCTCGTTAGATGATATGTTGAAGAGACACTGAATTAATATCCATTTAGCCATTAAAGGGACACTCCTTGTAAGGTAGTTCTCACCCAAAGAAACAAATAGGCCAATCTATCTTTGATCAATCATTCATGCATGCCCCTGAAGATGATTTATTGCAGAGGGACTGAGTCATTGTCCATCCAGCCATTTAAAGGGACATTGCTTGTAAGATAGTTCTCATCCTAATGAACACAAAACTATTTTGAACAAAGAATCAAAGGGTCAATATACCTTTGATTCATCAGTCATCCCTGCCCCTATATGTGATATATTGCTGAGGGACTGAATCAATATCCATTTACCCATTTAAAGAGACACTGCCCGTAAGGTAGTTCTCAACTAATGGGTCAATCTTTATTTGATTCTTCATTCAATTGCCTCCCCTGAAGATGATATATTGCCGAGGAACTAAATCAATATCCATGTAGCTGTTTAAAGGGACACTGCTTGCAAGGTAGTTCTCACCAAAAGAAACAAAAGGGTCAATTTATCTTTGATGCTTGTCCTAAAAATGATATATTGCTGAAAGACGGAATCAATATCCATTTAGCCATTAAAGGGACACTGCTTGTAAGATAGTTCTCATCCTAAGTCAAACTAAAATATTTTACTTCATAATAATATGTTATACAATGGATAGATTAAAATACCTCCACTTGTTTGATAGCAAAACAATGGGTTTCAAACTGACAAAAACTATCCTACATTTACCTTTTCAATTTTAAAAAGCAACCATTTGACTTTAGCTTCAATTGAAGTATTCTTTGAAAATGCCAAATAAATATATCATATCTTGGAAAGTCACAACTAGATTTTTGATATTTGAGTTGAATACCTAGGTTTTGTGTTTTCAATATGTTGCCCTTTGTGTCCTACCTTTGATAATGATGTTTAATATACAGTCCTCTAAATTGAATATCCTAGGTTAAACCTACTGCATACCAACTGAGGTGATACTTTTGCTGAGATTCAAGATTAAGATTCATAGATATATTACATTTTAGGGGTTGTTTTATGATTTGTGTTTTCAATATGTTGCCCTCTGTGTCCTACCTTAATGATATTTTGATATATCGATTAATTGAATGGTCAATATACTTAAAATAGTCATGAGTGAAGACTAACATACCCCTAACATGATATTTAGGATGATTTTCATAGTCAAACTTAAATGCACTGAATGGCCTTAGTTTTAATCCCTATGACCTTTGGGGGCACCTTTAGGTACATGGGGTAACGGATCCTTTATAAACTTAAACAATGTTGTAGCTATTCTATATCTTTGTTATGTGTTATTTAATGTTTTTCAGATATTTCAGAACCTTTATTGGTATACTAATGCCTAGAAATGAGACATTTAAGGACAAAACTTATCATTTTAGCCTTTAGCAGTAACATATATCTAATAGTTCCTCATATATTGCGTTTTATGCTTTTTAAGACTTTGCATTCCTATCAGGATGTTCCTATTATTCCAAATTATTTGCTCTCTGACACTTGCTTTGTCAGTTGGTACTTTTTGGTCTACAATTATACTCCAATTTTTTAAAATGTCCTTATAAAAGGTTGAAACATTTGATAAATCTAATGTTTTATAATCATAATTTGATTCAAAAATGATGTTAGTTCCAAAATTAGCAAGCATTATGTCGGGTAATGTTTTCACAACCCTGCTTCTTTTTGGCTAGTCTTTTTACCCATGCAGCTTTTAGGGCTTGATCCATGAGTTTGAATTCAACCATTTTTAACCCTCCATCACAAATATTTCCAATTAAAGTTTTCTTCTTGATTTAGGAGGTTTATTCCTCCAAATAAACCTTTGAATAACATTCATAAATTTCCAATATATATTTCTCTGGAATCACTGAAGTTGCTGAAATGTATGTAAGCTTGGATATACTAATAGATTTGACTAAAAGAATTCTGCCTTTTATACTTAGATCTCTTCCATTCCATGTATAAGTTTTGACCTCATTACTTGTATTTTATCTAAAATGTTATTTTTGATGTGGATTTGTTCATTATATGTAAAACAATATCCAAGGGCTTTAGCTTGTTTAACTGTTTTTAATTCATTGATACTATCATTCGTGCCTTTTGCATTTCCTATCCACATCAGCACAGTTTTATTTTTGTTCAATTTAAGGCCAGAACAAACTTCGAATTTTTCTAAGATTTTTATTATTTCTGTAACAGATTCTCCATTCTTAAGTATAACTGTGACATCATCGGCTTACTGACATGCTTTTATTTCCTGATCTTAAATTGTAACACCCTGAACATTTGTATTTCGTTTCACTGCGAGGCAGAGAATCTCAATGACCATTACAAAAAGTAATCCTGACAGGGGGTCACCTTGTCTCACTCCTCTAAAAAAGCTAGAGAACTCGCCATTATTAATGACATAACTGTTTGAATTTTTATATATACTTCGAAAAAAATTAATGAATATATTGCTAAATTCAAAGGCTTCCAATGTTTTTTCAAAAAAATTCCATTTGACAGAAACGAAAGCTTTTTGAAAGTCTAAGAATAATAGAAGACCTTTTGATTATTGTTATTTGTATAATCCATAATGTCCTTGATGAGCCTGACATTTGTCCCAATAAATCTATTCATTACGTATCCTGTTTGTTCCAGGCTGATACTTTTTGGAAGTATTCCTCTTAATCTCTGTGCTAAAGTTTTTGTTAACAGTTTATAATCACAATTGAGTAGTGTTATGGGCCTCCAGTTTGCTAAATTATGTCGATCTTTTGACATTTTGGAATTAAACTTATAATACCTCTTTTCTGACAAGAACTTAATTCTCCTTGTACTAAGTAAGGCATGATTAAATGTGTTAACAATATCATTTTAAGTTCATCCCAAAATTGTAAATAAAACTCTGATGGAAGACAATCTGACTCTGATCAAACACACTTATGGAAAAATGCATTAAAAATGATTTTGACTTCTATGCTCAAAAACTTAAATTCAAGGTCAGATCAGGATGCTTTGGTCTAGCCACTGATCTTGAGAGAGTGGTGGTATAAGTGATAAGGACGTTTCAGATCCTGTCTGGATCCTTTTTCAACTGTACAAAAACTGAACTGAAGCGCTACAAAACAATTAAATAAAAACGATATTACGTCATATTAATTCACCAAAAATTCATTCCAAATTCCCGCCAATTTATAGTTCCCTAATAACGATAATAATATGAACAGAGATCAAGGGTTTTGCTTTAGAATTGTGCTTGTACATATGTATTGTATGTTTTAACTGCTGCACTAGTATATTATAATATGGGCCACTGATCTAAAATTGATTGCAATAAACTAATAAAAAATTATAGTCCATCAGCATATATACTCTAGGGTAATATAGGGTGTCCGATATGTTTTAATAAGTTTGCATTTTGTGTACCAATATAGAAATTATAGTCTGGTTAAGACAATACATTCTAGGACACCAGGTCCTGCTGTCGTAGAATTAATGGTCCCCCAAACTATATGTTCAGGGAGACTATATTTATTACTCTCACTGGTGTGATCAGACTCTGAACTGGGTTCGATTTCCAGTACTTAAATAAATAGCTCCATCTTAAAACATTATTACATTTATATTTAATCAGGGAGATGTCTAAGGTTTCCTCAACAAGAGTGAAGGCGGTTGATTCAATTGAAATGAATATGGGTCGACAAAGGTTTGTCAACAATCATGACTCAAAATCAATACCTTCAAGCTCAGACCCAGAATGTGTTCCACCATCCGGACATGTCGAAGAAATCGCCAATACCTATGAAAAAAAGTGTGAAGAAGATGACGATGATAAACCTGCAGTTCAAACATCATTGCGAAAGGGTTAGTTTAATCTAAGATTCTATAACCCATGATGGGTCCAGGGTCTTGAAGCAAGACTAAACATATTGTTTGAAAGTATTGACCTCCCTTATCAATGTAACATGGTCATGGTTTCATATCTTACTTTTATGGTGACCAATCCCCTTTAATATTACAGTTCTCGTTTCAACAGGTCCCTTGGTTACATTTGTATCACTGTACAATGTTTTGGGGTGTTGCCCAGTAAGTCAGGTAGTTAGTCAATTGTTACAGAGATACATGTATACAGTACTCGAATTTTGAAATATACTTTTTTAGACATTGTAAATCATAGTTTTGAGTTGTATTTTATTTGCAACCCACGTCCTTCCACCACCCATCTTACATTAAGAAAATACTATTTCGTTTTGATGGAAACGTTTTTTTAAGTTTGATATCAAAATTAAGTACTTTTGACTAACAAGAGAGTATAGAATTTGGAAAAAGTAAAAAAGATGGTCCCTACAGGATACAAACGTCTGCAAACGTAAAAAATCAGCTTAGCGCAAGAAAAATTACAATTTCTCTGCACCATGATATCCAATTAAGATCATTCGAGTATTTATGCGCACCTATGGACGGTAACGTATTGTATTAGTTGTACATAAGATATTTAGCGGACGGGTACGTGCATGTACATCTGTCAAGTCAAGGTTGCTAGATCTGATAGCCTCTTTCCATGTTATTGTTATAATGGGTAAGAAATGGAATGTTGAATTTCCTATATGTGTTTTCAAGACTCGCAAGAGACGCTCTTGTTTCAGTCTCTATAAGACAAGGAAAAAAACTGTCGATCGCTTGCTTTATTCATGAAACCGATGAAAGTGTAAAAGATAGCAATGAAGAGGCAAAATAAGATTTAGGATCAAGTACTGATGAAGATGACAAAATTAATAACAATGAATCGGGGTTTCATATTTGAATCAGGTTCGCGAAACCGTCCATTTTTTACGTTTCCGCAAATTAAAAATACATTATTATGGCTTGAGTAGAACATATTAGGTGGTTTCCAATGCTCAATTGGCTTTGTATGATCGTATGTAGGTTACATCTTTATACCACAAGGTTTTTAGGCAATGTAGACCATGCCCTAACAAAAATAAACAAATTACTAAATTGTTGTGTAGTTTTGAATTTCAAACTCGACAGTTTTTCTCTTATTTCATGTTATCCCCGGACATCAAGTTCCAAAGACTACGTTCAAAATATACATTACTGAATGCATCACCGAATGCGACGCTAACATAAATCTTTCATTGATACACAGTCGTAGAAAATAATGCAACAACCTTAGTTTTCTCTTCCATGGCGGCCATTTTATTGGATAAATCAGTGAACGTAGCCGTCCAACCTCGTTTTCAGAGGTGGCGTTACCGTCATGCTATAACACCGTGGGTATGTTAGACTTGACTTAATCTCATACATGATATGGAGAAGCTATAGAGTGTGCAATTTCATTTTACACGTAACGAAACGAAGTAAATCATTCCCAGGGATTTTTAAACCAGGACGATCACAAATCACACAGCTTCAAAAGAACATCTTAGGAACAAGAACAACGCTTAGGATCAAGTACAATCAAGAAAAATACCTAGAATCAAGAACAATCACTTGATATCAATAACAAATTATTTAGGATCAAGAACAATCACCAAGGATCAAAAAACAATCACTTGGTATCAGTAATAATTATTTAGGATCGAGACCAATACCTATCTAAAACAATCACATATGATTAAGAACAATCACTTACTATCGATAAAAATGATTCAGGATCAAGAAAAACACTAGTAACCGAGGATTAAGAATAAACACTTGATATCATTAACAATTATTAAGGATCAAGACCAATAACTTAAAAACAATCACCAATCTCTTAGGATCAACAGCAATCACTTAGGATCAGTAACAAATTATTTAGGATGAAAAACAATCATTTATAATCAAAGGTAATCGCTTAAGACCAAGAACAGTCTCTTTGGAAAAAGTACAATCACCTAGTATCGAGAAGAAACTGTTTAGGATCAAGACCAATCACTTAGGATCGAGAACAATCATCTAGAATAATCTTAGGATGCTAAGAGATTGTCTTAATCCTCAATAATTTGTTATTGATATCAAGTGATTGTTCTTGTTCCTAAGTGATTAGTCTTGATCCTAAGTGAATTGTCTTGATCCTAAATAATTTGTTATCGATCCAAAGAATTTATTTTCCATCCAAAGTAATTGTTTCTGTTCTTAAGTTTCTTTTCGACCTTAAATCCCCTTTCTTCACGCTAAGTGATTGTTCTTGATACAAAGTGATTGGTCTTATCCTAAATAATTTTTTGATTCTTTTGGGATGTACTTCATGCTAAGTAATTGTTTTTGTTCCTAAGTGATTGGTCTTGATCTAAAATAATATTTTTTCCTAAGTTATTGTTCGTGGTCCTAAGTGTTTGTTCTTGATTCTAAATGATTGTTTTGGATCGTAAAAAATCGTCTTGACCCTCGGCAATTGTTCTCAATTCTAAGTGATTGTTCTTGATACTTAATATTTTGTTCTGATACTGTAATTGTTCTTGATCCCAAGTTATTGTTTTTGATCCTAAAAACCTTCTTGACCCTAGGCAATTGTTCTCAATTATAAGTGATTTGTCTTGATTCTTAATATTTTGCTTTGATAATATGATTGGTCCACATCTTAAATGATTGTCCGTGACCCGATCATAAGTGATTTGCCTTGATCTAGTATCAGCTATTATGAAAAAATATAACATTAAAATCAAATGAGCTATAGTTTACTGTGTTACAGTACCAACTTCTATACTCTATTTTATTCACATTAAGTTTGATTTATCAATATGCATATACTCAACTGATCTTAGGTCAAGGTCACAATGACATTATATTTTTGTAAACAAAAACTCAGTGAATGAGTCATTAACTTTTGGCCTTCTAGAGGATTCTCGAAATCGTTGTTCCCTCTTCAAAAGAGGAGACGCGAAAATCTTTCCTTATAAGGTCAAAATATTTCCCATGATGCAGTTCGCGGAGGAACAAATTTATACTTCCTTGTTTTCCCTCATAGGTTTAACATGGAGATTTTCACACCTATTTTTCAAACGATATATTCCTTCATGGACGCCTGTAAATCCTATACCTAAATCATATGTAAATCATATTTCCGTACGAGAGTACAGAAAAAATTATAAGTCGTTTCAGAAATTTGTTGTTCATTGTACAATCTTTTATTGATTAAACTATTGATTAAAGCAATGACAAAGAAGAATACTTCCGATGGTGTTATTGTTTTATTTAGAGTGCGGGTGTAAAACAAAATTGTGTAATTAGGCCATAAGAAGTAGATTCTTTGTTTTGCGTCCCCTTGCTTGCACGATTTGGAGTAAATCAGAAAAAACAAACACATCCAAATAGCAAACACAACATGAATTCCATGATTAGAGGCCACATTTGCAAAAAATTCAAAGTATCATTCAGAAAACTAGAATAGAAAAAATAAATTAAAATTCAAAGTATCATTCAGAAAACTAGAATAGAAAAAATAAATATTTAGATATAATCTTTCATCTAAAAATGAGAATACCATTATTTTATCATGGTATTTAAATTTATATATGCGATAAAGTTGCTTGTCATAAACCGGAAGTAGCTGTCTGCAAAAAGACAAGATGGAGGTATAAAGTGTTTTGCATATCTGATTCTTAACATATTATTTATCGATAATCAGACTAATATTCTTTGTTCATTTTGTCTATGAAGTATTTCTGTATCCTATATGTGGAGTTATATTGGATATCTCAAATGGCAAAAAATAATTTTTGATGTTTGAAAACATGATCAAATCTGAACCTCCCAATTGTGCGTTTTGTGATTCCGTCACGAAAAGAGCAAAAAAGTTTGTCAACTTTTTCCAGATAAAGAGTTAGCATTGTAAAACACATGAACGGGTTTATTTCGTTGAACTATTGTCTTAACGATAGAATTAAGTCAAAACGAGCACTCCAATAGGTCAAAATGAGCAGGAAATGAAAGACGATGGTAGTAGGGGGCATTTTGTGAAAAAGTACAAGTGATACCATCACGGAGGAGAAAAAAGCCCGTAACAATAAAAACAATGTACGCACATTTATTTTGACGTTTTTTATAGAAACTCAAAACAACTCCGTTTTCTAGAAGATCCCATATAAGATCAAGAAACCCCTGTATATTTGACAGATGGCCTTTTAAATGTCGTTTTTTCGTCAAATGTGTGATTCCGTCACGCTGGAATTCATGACAAGGGTCTGAGAGTACCATCGCATCTTGTTCAATCATAATCAGACGAAATGACGGATAATTTGGCCTGCGTCAAAATTGACAGCGTTATTAATTACCTTGGCATACATTGTGTATTTTCTTGAATTCTGAAACTATTAACGTTTAATTAAGATTTAATCATGTGACTAAAGATGTCCAATCAAACCTCAAACCCAGAAACGCATTCTAGAAAAGTCTACCTAGAACATTCTTTCACACTATAAATAAAACTTCAAAGAGGACACTGCAGCAGAACATCAAAATCAAGTAAAGGGACATCTTCTCTGGGAACATAATAATTAAAGCAGAAAATCACACTAGAGACAATCTGCGCGAGATTCCATTCTTTGGTTCGGTTTTTAGCGCATGCGCATTAAATCCAGTAATTTAATTGGTTAAAATTATTATCACGCATGAGCAATTAATAACTTAATAAGAAAATTTAATTTGAGATAGATGTCACTTACGTTCATTATTTCACAGCAGTCCCTACCCATAATGCACCATATATGTTGGAATATTTTTGTTTAAGTGTCAAAACAAAAAGTATTCACCCGAAACAAATGTAATGACATAATATAAACCTGCCCCTGATTTGTAGACGTATGTTGTACAAAACCTAAACCGAACCGATGGCAGAAAACCACTTTGAATCATGGGAATGAAATACTTCCTTTAATGAAAAACCGAACCAAGTAAAAACCGAATCTCGCGCAGATTGCCCCGACTCGAAAATCAAGTCATCATCTCATATGAATTAAATACACGACATCTATTAAGGAAACATTACAGAGAAAATTTAAAGCACAACACTGGACATTCTAAACTGAACACTGGACATTCCAGATTGAACACTGGACATTCCAGATTGAACACTGGATATTCCAGATTGAACACTGTATATTATAGTCGTATTGGAGGACTACCACTGAACATTGGAATATTACATAATCATCAAACATTATTGGATTAATATAAACATTATAGGATTACTCCGAACATTATAGGATTACTCTGAACATTATAGGATTATCGCACATAATTGGATTCTACGAACATTATCGGATTATATCTCTTTCGAACATTGGACTACTTCACAAGGATTATCAAGGATATTCATCAACATCGAAAGACAGTTAGCCGTATCATTGATTGGACCAAACCAGAGCACTTATAATCTTGAAACAAAACAGTTTCCCCCCCCTTTCCCCCACCAACCACGTTCCAGTATCACAACCAAAGGCAATTACACTAGGAGACAATTTAAAATTGATGGTCAATACTCAAAACATCAGAGACATTTGTAGATACTATACTATACTATAATATTTATGTTCTCATTATGCTCTGGTTCATCAAAATGCATGTTTGTTACAGTATAGTTAACCAAATAAACATGAACATTCCAATTTTTATTTAGGTAACCAATCAGCACAAGTCTCCCTGAGTGTCTTATTGGACACTGAACTGTCGGGGATCAAAGAAGCTGGCACTTGGAAAGCTGAGCGAATCATTACATCAAAGCAAGCTGCAGAGATTAACGTATTGGGATACGACTCTAAAATATTGAATTTCTGTTCCAATAACTACCTTGGTCTTTTAGTAAGTTCATAAAAGAATTATATGTATTCTTGCCTCTGTATAAATCCTCGGATTATCTAGAATGAATAAATTGAAATGTATTTGTAAAATTACATTTAAAGATCCAATATGCAAGTAAATGCAAGTACTTGTCCATGTATATCCAATACATACCATTACCTGATCTTGAAGATGTGAAGTATAAAATCATTTCCCCCTGACTGAAATAAAAAGAAATAAAAATATTTTATTGTAAACCATAATTTTTTGCCTCAGAAACTCACCATATAACTTTTGAAATGTGAACATTAGCAGCTTCGAGCTCCAGGATCAGTGACATTTGGCATGCTCAAAGTCACAATCCTTTTGAGTACACCCCATAGATAGAAATCTGGGGGGGGGGTTCAAGTCAGTTGTGTGTGGGACCCACTCAGGGTCACATCTTTTACTGATTGGGTTATCCTCTTGTGGCAATGGGGACGTTTTGGTGACATAAGGAATGTGTGGGGGCATCGCTCTTTACAATCACCCGACTTGAACCCTTCAGATTTTTTTCTTTGAAATTATATGAAGAACAATGTCTTTTAAAACCACACCCAGACAATCCGAGACTAGCGACCAGTAGTTACTGCAAAACTCCAAAGATATCCAAAGAAAAGAATGTGTCCTCCTAATTGATAACTTCTTGCACCGCATTTAGGAGTGACTGAAACATCAATGAAAAAACACAATGAGCACACGCGTCTCGAACTTGCAGCCTCGTGGTTACGGCGCCCAATCGCCTAGCCTGAACGTGCTGGCGCTCAAGCTCTCTCGGCCAACTCGACAGCCCCAAAAAAGTTTGTTTGTTAGTCGATCTGACTAGAGGCAGCTGATGTTAACGCTCGAACACAGTGTTAGTCAAATCGAACATATGTTTTGTAAGGCCATAAAAACGGACCATTTAGATGCCAGAAATGATACTTTCAGAACTTGGCTGTTATCGTCTAAGCTTCAGATCATATGAGGGAAAAATAAAAGGTGTATCACTATTATTTATAATTTTATTCATTGGGTCACCCTGTAGTATTGACAGAAATGGCCACATCCTCCTGAATATATTTTTCAAATAATTTTATAATATATGTTATTTGTTTACGCTTCTAGAATCACCCTGAAGTGATTGCTGCTGTCAAGGCTTCTCTAGACACACATGGTGCAGGACTTAGTTCAACCAGGTACATAAGTGGAACGCAAGTGAGTAACACCAGATTTTACTTGTTCAATGCTTCCATATAAAGTTTTAATTTTAACATAAGTGGAAAATTTTGTCTTGTTTCAAAATGATGGTCATTCCCACGTAAGTCCACTACCCATACCCATGTATATGGTGCTATGAATTAATTCCCTCGCTAGACCCCCAATTAATCTTTCAGCAAGTCATTATCAATCAAAATTTCTACAATTATCTACAATGCATAATTAGTAATGATCAGTTCAAAAGTGGAATTAAATTAAATTAAACTGAAATTGAATGTGAATTTAACACAGTAACTTTTGTATAACCAAACACCTGGCTAATTCATACATCTCCCAATCTGAACACCTTTTCGATCACATTTGTCCATCAATTGACTCTCATGTTTTAGCCAGCTCAATGACGTTTAGATTAGGTTTTATTTAAATCGTTCCTTTGACCGTTTCCTTTCGTTCAAATGTAACTCATAACATAAATAGGAGCCCGGACAGAATTGTTCAATGGTCATATAATAATACGCCTATAATATTAATAGATTAAGAGATTTTCCTTAGATATTTTCTTTGTATGTCAGAATTTTGCCCCGCTCTAGGCTTTAAGCAACTGTTTGCTAATTTACCATGAAAAAATCTATTAATGAAAATGATTCGATGATTCAATGGAAAACGATATCCCATTTACTCTGTTGCAGATAGGACATGTTCCACCATAAATGTCATTTATCTGGTAACTTGTAAAAGGTGTAGTTTTAAGTATGTGGGTAAAACTGAAGACCGTCTTCATGTCCGTATGAATGGTCACAGGTCTAACATCCGTAACAGAAATAAATTAGTCTGTGAACATTTTAATGGGAATGGACATTCCCAATCTGATTTTTCTATCCAAATAATCAACAAAATCTTTCCAATTCAAGGTGAAACCGATCATGATTTTCGAACTAGAATTTTATCTTAGAACAATTTTGGATGTTACAATCGGGCACTGTTCACCCCTATGGCCTAAATGACGATGTCGAAGGTCTGGGTAATGTCACAAAAACTTATAATAACATTAATGTTGCCAGTAATTTTAACCGACAAACAAATACTCCCAGATCCCGTGGACGGAGAATCAAAGATCGTATCGGTAGACGTAATATGCACACTGAAGTTGATATAGACAGACTAATTGACGTTTTTAATGACCCAAATAAGTCCTTGCACTATTTGAGTACTTTGATTTTTTCCTTGCCCCATTCAAGACTACATCAAATACTTGAAAATTCTAAAAAAGCCTTTTCAGAAAACAAAATTCCTCAACAATTGCATTGTATTATTGTTAACCTGGGAACTAGGAAGATATATTCAACTTTTACATCCAAAGAAACTAAACCTAAAAGGTTTATGAAAATATGTTTTCATAATAAAGGTATCGAACATATTAACTTATCCAGAGTGTTACATGACAAGAATGTAACTACAGGGCGTCCACAAAAAAGTATACCCAACTTCAAAGCCAGGATACTAGAATTCTGAGCAATTTTTTAAAGATTTAAAGGCTGCAGTATAAGGCCTAGTTTATTCTCCATCAAATGGTACTTAGATCATTATGTAACTGTCATGGATGACTGAGCAATCAAGACTTGTTGGCTCTACTGCTAAGATGTCAGTTGAACCATGTTTGCAGACCTATTTTAGAGTAAGTAAGCTTTTCGCCAAATCTTTTTTATTTATAAGAGAGCTACTCAGCCCCCAATCCAGTTCATTATGAAAGTCCTGTCATCTAACATAATGAAACAGAAAAAGTATACTAAGGCAATTAAACATTGATTGCCACACAGGAAGATAACTTGGCACAGTGCTAATTTTACCCCCTATCAGAATGGTCATAATTACCCAGTCATACATCATAGTTACATAATGATCTAGGTAACATTTAGTGGAGGACAAATAAGGCTTTTTGCTGTTACCTTTGGATATACCTTTTTTTGTGGACGCCCTGTAGTAAGATACCTGCTTATTTTGAATATCAAGAGGTTCCACCAATATCATATAAATACACTAATACAATCGCTAGGAAATTGTTTAATTACAACAAAACTGTATCAGATTTTGACCACTCTGACTTTGATGAAATGATTTATAATTGTGAAGATTCCCATTTTAAGTATGAGCCCCATAAGCCTGTCTTAACAGGTAACTTAGATATGATAGAGAGGTTAACCTACACGTATAAATGCAAACCGTGAACCTGAACGCGTAAGTCCACGCTCAAGGAAACGTTTAAGAAGATTTTCAGTTAAGCTACACGTCTGAAACCATGTCAGTTGACGTGGAGCTATATTTATGTGGTGACTGTGTCTAAAGGTCATGCCTTTATGGTGTAATGGATAGCACTTCGGCAATCTAGCACTTCACGTATGTTCGTTAGGCCTGGGTTCGAATCTAGTCGCAATAAAACATTTTGTTTTTTATTTTTGCTTTATTTCATATTCAACCACAATTGAAGGGTCTAGTGCACTTCCATTATGGATTCCCCATGAACAAAATGAATCATTTTTAACTGTAACATAAAGAATACAATGTCACATAATACTTTGGAAAATATGTAAGCGTTTGGACCCACATCGGCTGAGGTTGAGCTCATTAAGTTCAGCAAGGGTGTATTGACTTGACATTGGATGTGTTCTATTGACTTAACATGTGAATATCATCAGATTCCGATGGAGACCATTGGTTTATATTGATTTTCACAAAAATACCTAAAATACACTATGACCTGAATCGATTGCAAATAACGCAGATGCGAGTAGGTAGTTACCAGATTCACCACCAGATGGCTCGTTCGGGTCAGATAGCATGGCGGGTATAGTAGAAAGTTCACTTCAACTTAAATTACATCTATTTGTGTGGTTCAATTTTCATATAACCATTATCTATCTAATAGTTATGCAAATTAAAGTATGTCCAGTAAAAGAAAATATAATCTGTCCAATACAAGATAAGATAATTTATTTTTTGTGATTTTGTAACATGGGGTCTATGGGGAATCAACCCGAACAAGAAGTCACATTTTCAAAAAAATTAAATTTTCAAAGTTGATAGACATATTTCTAGATGTGCTTTTACATGCAGATTTCAAATATGACATCACTTTGACTGGATTTTGAATATTTAATAAGTGGCCCATTCAGTGCTGAATATAGGTCAACAAGATACTAGTGTACATATAAATGTAATAATAAAAGCAGTATATTTATTTTGAAAAATCAGATGAATTTATTTTTGTTCATGGGGAGATCATAATGGAGGGCGCACTAAATCCTTTCTTGCCCTGGTTGTCATTTCATTTCGTTTAGTATACATACGAGGGGTGATCAATAAGTAATGGACGCTTTTTTACACAGATACTTTTTATTGACAAATCCCTTTGATTTTCCTACCAGTGATACATCATTCAATTATCTATCAATTCTGAAGATTTGAAGACAAGATATATAATACATATTGATATATCCTTATTTCCGTGAAGGAGGTACAGGTACCCCGGGACCGACATTTACGTCACATATTTAGATTTTAGCCAGTTTGGTAAATTTCAGTTAGATTTGAACGTTTTAAATGCAACAAGTGTTGTGTTGTTTAAATTTTTTGCTGCCTGGTAACACATAAACAGAAAGTATTGTAATGTCAGAGTGTTGTATGGAAGGGGTTTGCAGGTCAATTCGAGAAAGCATTCAGTGGAAGAAAGGGGTGGTGAGAGAAGGGAACACCCTACTCCATATGGACAATGCACCTGCCCACAGATCTCAAAATGTTCAGAAAACAATATCCCTGGACCTCAAAGTTGAGCCCTTGGCCAAGGCACCATATTGTCCAGATCTGCTCACATGTGACTTGTTTATTTCTATACTACTTATTTCTATAGAGAAAGGACGCAGGTTTATTGACATTGATGAAATAAAACAACCCGTGCAACTGCATCTTGCTACCATGTCAGAGAATGGATTCAGCCTTGTCTCACAATCCTGAGTGAAGAGGATGAGAAATTGTGTACATGTAGCACTTGATGGAAACTATTTAGAGGGCCCTGTGGAATGAATGTGGCATGAATACCACATAGTGATGATAAAATATTCAAAATCAACTATGGCATAACAAAATGGGGTAATTCATGACCATAATGGTTTGTTTTGTTCAGCCTGCATTCAACTGCATTGCATGCTAAATAATCTAAAATAGCTTCAGAATATGTGACGTAAATGTCGGTCCCGGGGTACCTGTACCTCCTTCACGGAAATAAAGATATATCAACATGTAATATATATATTGTCTTCAAATATTCAGAGTTGATAGATAATTGAATGTTGTATCACTGGTAAAAAAATCGAAGGGATTGGTCTATAAAAAGCATCTGTGTAAAAAAGCGTCCATTACTTATTGATCACCCCTCGTATTTTACTAAGCCCCGGGCATCAAATAGGTCTTGCCAATTTATATTGTATCGAATGAACAAACGATCACATTTGAAGTTACCCATTAAAATGTATTCTAATTTCCAATTAAGGATTGGGGTTTACCAATATAACAAGTAAGATTGTCTGTATCAAATATGGGCTCCAGGGCCATCCTAGAACATAGCTAAAATCAATCACGTAGTGAGGGACGTGTAATCACTCATCTCCACGTAAAAACCTGTACTTTTCACGCCTACCTGTAGAAAGTAGACTAATCTGACGTCATTTTCCTGCACGCGCATAGAAGTACACGTTCACTTCAAACTTCACTTATTTTAACCTGGATAAAAAGACTATATGACAATGAAAATGATCAAAAATGGAAAGCAATTATGAGTTTTTATTTGAGTAAAATGGGACATTCTAAAAACTTGTTCAAGTACAATTGTGAATATAAAGACTTAAAAGTAAACAAAAATATTCCAACATTTTACTCGTTCTTATCCAAATCATGGCTGAACAATAAAACAGTAAATATCACTAAAAACATTTTTACTAATGATTACTTATGGAATAACAGGAGTATATGTTGAGTATATATATGAGTATAAACAATTACACTTTAAATCATGGGAAAATGCTGGAATAAAATTAATCTCAGATGTGATTGATAAAAGTACAGGAAAAATAAAAAATGCAGATGTACGAGGGGTGATCAATAAGTAATGGACGCTTTTTTACACAGATACTTTTTATTGACAAATCCCTTTGATTTTCCTACCAGTGATACATCATTCAATTATCTATCAATTCTGAAGATTTGAAGACAAGATATATAATACATATTGATATATCCTTATTTCCGTGAAGGAGGTACAGGTACCCCGGGACCGACATTTACGTCACATATTTAGATTTTAGCCAGTTTGGTAAATTTCAGTTAGATTTGAACGTTTTAAATGCAACAAGTGTTGTGTTGTTTAAATTTTTTGCTGCCTGGTAACACATAAACAGAAAGTATTGTAATGTCAGAGTGTTGTATGGAAGGGGTTTGCAGGTCAATTCGAGAAAGCATTCAGTGGAAGAAAGGGGTGGTGAGAGAAGGGAACACCCTACTCCATATGGACAATGCACCTGCCCACAGATCTCAAAATGTTCAGAAAACAATATCCCTGGACCTCAAAGTTGAGCCCTTGGCCAAGGCACCATATTGTCCAGATCTGCTCACATGTGACTTGTTTATTTCTATACTACTTATTTCTATAGAGAAAGGACGCAGGTTTATTGACATTGATGAAATAAAACAACCCGTGCAACTGCATCTTGCTACCATGTCAGAGAATGGATTCAGCCTTGTCTCACAATCCTGAGTGAAGAGGATGAGAAATTGTGTACATGTAGCACTTGATGGAAACTATTTAGAGGGCCCTGTGGAATGAATGTGGCATGAATACCACATAGTGATGATAAAATATTCAAAATCAACTATGGCATAACAAAATGGGGTAATTCATGACCATAATGGTTTGTTTTGTTCAGCCTGCATTCAACTGCATTGCATGCTAAATAATCTAAAATAGCTTCAGAATATGTGACGTAAATGTCGGTCCCGGGGTACCTGTACCTCCTTCACGGAAATAAAGATATATCAACATATAATATATATATTGTCTTCAAATATTCAGAGTTGATAGATAATTGAATGTTGTATCACTGGTAAAAAAATCGAAGGGATTGGTCTATAAAAAGCATCTGTGTAAAAAAGCGTCCATTACTTATTGATCACCCCTCGTATTAAAGGAAAAAATTGGGAGAAACCCTAACTTTTTCATTGAATACAATATGCTCCGACAAAGTCTTATAAGAGTGATTGTAAAACAAGATGATGATAACACTAAAACTACATTCAATGAAATTGATGTAAATAAAGCAAATGCTCAAATGATCAGAAAATCTTTATTAAAACGTAAATTGGAAACTCCAATCAGTGAAAGAGGCTGGAATGATTCATATAATCAGTTGTGTTGGAGAGACGTTTGGTTAATGTTCGAAATATAAAAGAACCAATGTTAAAGTCACTTCAATTTAAAATATTGCACAGAATATATCCAACTAAAGTGATGATGAACTTTGTAATTTCTGTGCCTGTAAGGATACATATGAGCATTTCTTTATAGAATGTAGAAAAATAAAACGAGTCTGGGAAATAATAGATAACACATGCTTCCTCAAATTGAAAAGAAAGATAGAATTTAAGCACGATATTATTTTTGGATATAAGGACGAGGACAAAACGGTTGAAAGGAAAATTAATCTTATGTTAATGGTTGGAAAACATGTGATAAGCAAATACAAATGTGGTCTATATAGTTACAATGTTGAATGTATGTTAGAACATGAGATGAGACTAAGAAACTTGTAATATTGTAAAGTGTTATAATGATTGTATGATTGATATTGACTTATGATATATATATATATATATATATATATATATATATATATATATATATTATGTAATATGAATATGTAATGATACTGATGAAATAATAATAAAAAAAGAAAAAAAAGAAAAAAAAGAAGTACACGTTCATGCTTTGTTGAATACGCGTCTGTAAATTGCACGAATATGATAATCTCATGTAAAAACCTGTAAACTTCACGCTGGCTCAAAGGAAATAAACAAATCTGACGTCATTTATCTGCGCGCGCATTGAAGTTCACGTTCAAGTTTTGTTTAATACGTGTAGCTTAACCTCTCTAATATCTGATAGTAAACTTAGAAATTTAATTTCGTGAATCCAATTCGATTTTATGGCGTTATGATAAAAATCATTTTTGAAGCAGTTGAAAAATATGCTCGAGAAAAAGCTGGTTGAAAAAGGAGCATGCTGATAAATCTGCATTAGATGAATGGGTATTTAAAATTAAGGATATCGTGAATAGAAGAATAATGAAACTTAAAAGTCAAAATATTAAAAGTACCAGTAAAGTTTTAGATGATCCAAAAGTTATTGGATATTTGGAAGAATTCCATAAAAAGTTTGTATTGGTCCCTGCAGGCAAAGCTGCTAATAATGTAATAGTGATTTGTAAAAAGTTCTATTTGTCTATAATCATGGCTGAACTAGGTATTTCAAGTCAAAATGTTGTAAATAAGACATATGTTAAGGTTAATTCTAATGAAAGGGAAATAGTTAAGAACCATCTAAATTTTTTGAATAATTATAAGATTAAACCAACAGAGAAACAGGAACATTTTCCCAAAATTTACTGAACACCAAAGCTACATAACGCCCCATATAAAGCTAGATTTATTGCTGGGTCTAGAGTCTGTTCCACTAAAAAGGTTTCTTGACTATTGACAAGGTGTCTTCAAGCTGTTAAAAATAATAGGGAGACTTATTGTAAGGCTAGAAAATCAGGGCTTAACCATATGTGTATTCTTAAAAATTCCAAAGATCTTTTATCAAAATTTAATGACCCGATTTATTCAAAAGTTAAATGTATTTCAACGTGGGATTTTTCTACACTTTACACATCAATTCCTCATGACAAGTTAAAAGATGAAATATTTGGAATCATTAAAAAGACAATGACTGGTAGTAAATTTAAATATGTTAACTGTAATTCAAATAGGGCTTTCTTTTCTAACAATATGATATGTGAACAATATGATAAGTATATTTCTCACTGCAGTACAATTCTGTGAGGTGTTAGGCTTTCTTATTGATAATATATTTGTTAAGTTTGGAAATACATTTTTACGTCCGAATGTAGGTATACCAATGGGTACAGATTGTGCTCCTCTTTTAGCAGACCTTTTCAATCCTCGTATGAGTATAAATTTTTACAAAGGGTGATGAAAGATAAAAATAAATTTCATATTGCAAAGTTATTTAACAAGACAGATCGATATATTGATGACTTGTTAAGTTTAAACAACCCAAAATTTAAAGACTTTGTAGGTGAGATATATCCTACTTAGCTAGAATTGAAAAGGACTAATGGATCTGATATGAGTGCACCTTATCTTGATCTTCCTATTAACATTGAACGAGACAACAGTATATATTGTAAATTATATGACAAAAGAGATGACTTTAATTTTGACATTGTTAATTTTCCACATTTGGATAGCAATATCCCACTAAACCCAGCATATGGGGTTATGTATCCCAGCTTATTAGATATAGCAGGGCGTGTTCAAAATATCTAGATTTCAAATCACCACCAAATCAAAACCATATTTTAGTGATCAAGCTGTTAGGTCAAGGTTATACTTGTAATAAACTTATGAAATCCTTTTTTGACTTTGCTGAAAAGTACAAGTCATTAATTTCGAAAAGAGCACGTAAGGTATGGCAAGCCATTTTCAAAGGGCTATATCTTTAGTTCGAAGAATAAGTTAACCACAAAATCAAATGGTTCTGTTAGATCCATGTCTTATCTTCAATAAATGACATAAGGATGATAATCAAGTTGATTGAATTATCTCTTAAGCTGTCCCTAATCCACCCATCCTCACCAATTTTCCCTAATTCAGATGCAATTTTCACCAAAAGTGCAGGCCTTTTTAATAATTTTTAGTGCAAAGTTGTATTGAACTTTAAGACATGATTTAAACTGTAAAGGGGAAAAGTTAATTGTAAACCTACTTTTTGATATTTTTTTCGTGATTTTTCCGTATTTTTTCTGATATTTTAAAGTGCTTTATACTAATATTATACAATTACAAAATAGAGGGCAGCTACGTGCCATAAATAATTTGTTTGTTACAACACTCAGATAGTGACTTACTCAGCGTTATGGATTATAATCCTGTATTTAACCTTGTATTGTTTGTGTATAAAACAGTTGTGTCATTCACGTATAGCTATTTATATACTGAATAGTTCTTTGTAATTACATGTGCCTGGTTTTGGCTATTCAACCTAGATTCTTTGTTATATTAGGGCAGGCTGAAATGAATAAGTGTGAAAATAAAATGAATTACAGGGTGAGGCAAAAATGTCATCCAAAGAAATTTTATTAACTCATTCATTGAAATCATATTTAGTTAATTTTACCATGTAAAATCTTTTTGCATTTTACCATGTTTCATGGGTCCATTCCTCAAGGTCACAATTCTATGGCCATTCTACAAATTTCAGCCTCGTCCCTTCAGGCAGACCTGCACTGGTCGGTTGAGGTTGTAAGTTCATGGTCACAGAAATTGTTCTCCTACTTGTTGTAGGGGTTGACATTATCTCAGAGATAGCCCGTAGTCATGAGGTGAGGCTGGCATTTTGGACCATGTTTCGTTTTATAGCCATAAAATCCCGACTATTGGGGCAGGGCCAATTAAACTTAGTAAAATGAAAGAACATTAAACAAGGTTTTATTATGCGAAATAACATTTTAACAGATGCGGAATTAGTTTGGGCTACATTTTTGGCTCACTCGGTATTAGACTGCACTTTGATAGTATTTATGATGTCATATGTTGGGTAAAAGGCGATGATTTAACCTACTTTTGATGGCAAATTCATTTTAATATGAATGAAATAGTGGCAGGTACTATTTATATTTAATGAGCCATTAAATAGTAGGTTGATCTGGCAGTTGTTAGTTGAATTCGCTATTACTACTTGTAATGGGGTTTCAAAGCCCGTGGTCACCTATGTAGTTTCTTCATCCTAGGTCAAATCGACTCAAGAATGGTGTTATATAAGATGCAGCATTTATTGATTTCTGGAATCACAGCACCCCTAAGCGTAATCATAATTCCGTCGATTGACCTACAGCATAGGCCCAGGGAAAAGTAATAGGAAGGAAGGCATAAGTTTACTCTTTACTACTTTTACATAGACCTATGGCCTAAAGATAAGTTTGGGATCCCTTATTAAAACCAAAACCTCTATTTCTAATTACAGCCCCTAAAAGCAACAACCCCGAACCAAGTGGCAGTCATTGAACCCAAAGGCATTTTTATGTGCCAACCTATAATGAGACCCCCTTTAGTGAATAATAACCAGGTAGTCATCTAAGGTATAACAACATGTTCAGTTTGTAATTTTATAGAAGGTCACTGAATCCTCTAATCGTTCATTCAGTCACGGATAAACTATGAGTACTGGGTTTTATGAGAAATAATAGCAGAGGGGCTTGGCCTGAGGCTATTAGTTCTCATATGACCCATTTCGAATAGTTTATCTAACTTAAACTCCACACTGATTCTTATGAAGGGTAATTGACCCATGATCCAAGTTTAGAAAAATTCTTTTGTATTAACTATGTGGTAAATGTGTAGAGAAGTGGGTTGGTTTGATTGGTTCAGCTTCAATGCACTGCATGTATCAGGCAAGGTACATTGAAAATTGTATTTATTTTGTGTTTACAATTCAACTATTGAGTGATTGAAAATGGTTTAATAAGAACAGCTTCGGTGCACTGCATGTGACAGTCAAGGTGTAAATATTGAGCCAAACACTGTCAATCATATTTTGTGCCACACTGGTTTTAGATAGCTGCAGTGTCCATTCTTCAAAACAATACAACGAGAATGCACTCCTCTTTCTTACTACTGTACATTCATATTCTTTAAGGTGAAAACGGTCTTAAATTGACCAATTTTTCAAAAATTCAAATCTGACTTTAAATTTCACAATTGACCTTCAATGACCTTCTCAAAGTAAAGAGGGTCTAAAAGGTATTTTTCAACTTGCTTCGAATTGACCGAATTTTCAAAATCACCCACAAGTTCTCAGAAGTCAAATCTGACTTTTGAATTGACATTTGACCTCTCAAGTTCAAAAAGTTCAAAAAGGCATTTTTCAACTTGCTTCATATAATCATTTTCTTTTCAAGATTTGACTTGAACTACATGGTGATGACATTTTGTAATGGCAATGCCTTGTTCTACATGTTATTTCATGATTTCTTTACGAAGTATTGGCTTCGTACCTCATACCCATGTACGCGGGTGGTGATGCAGTTTTTGAAGGGTTCAATTTTTAAAGTTTTAAAAGATTATTCAATTTTAATGCTATCTGAGGTATAAATACATTCATATTATCCATAGATGTGAACTTCGTCTAGTGAAAGATAGATAGATACAGAGTCATAAAATAAAGCCAGAATTGTTAATTTTTTGTTTTTCATTGATTGTCAAAATAGCGCCATTCAAAGGACTTTTCAATAGAGAAAAATCCATTCTAAATAAGTTTTAAATATGCCAGGGTATCATTTTATTTAATCACAGCATGATTAAAGATAATTGTAGTCTCAGGAATCGTAAATTCACGTTTTAGTGTAGATATAGTGAACGAGCATTTCAATTAGGCAATTTTTATCGAAATAGCAAAGGTAAACAATTTTGCAATTCTGGCCTTATTTATGACTAGAAAAATGTTGGATCTATAAGACATACACGAAGGTCTACAAGTGCATTAATGCACCTACAATTCATATGATCAGAATAATCTGAAACGTTAGAATTGAACTCTTCAAAGAATGTATCATGCCCCAAGAACGCCGGCACGTGGGTACAAGGTATAAGGTTTTTCATACAAAGCCCGAAGTATTGACTGAGAAGTAGGAATACAGAGTGATCGAGTACGTGACAATATCATAATTACACAAGGCCATATACATATTGTCAAAGGGTAAAACACAACGCATTAAACTGTTTATTCCATAAAAATTCCAATCAGCAAAAACAATCCAATAAAATTTGAAATGAACAAAAAATGCAACAAATGTTTGGCCAAACCATTGGAGAAAATTATTATTTGCATGAACTCTGTATACAGTGGTACCTGTATCAATACCTACTACATATAACACTATTCGAAAGATCATTTACAGCAAACTCCTTTACATAAGGCACTTTCGAAACCCCCAATATGGTTGATGATAAAGAAAGATACACATGGGAAGAGTTAATTCAAATAAGATGGTATTGAATCATGTTTGTTGAAACATCGCAAATGTGTAATATTTAAAATATTCATTTACACTATACAATTCAAATATATAAACAAGTATTTCCTCTTATGTGTTTTACTTGGTGTTAAACATATTTATGTTTTACTGTACATACTTTATACGACCCAGTCATGTTGACATATCCATGCTCATTTCTATAATACGCAATTATGCAACAATGAATACACAGATTATCTAGCACTCACCCATGTAGAATATATCATGCCATCTATGGAACATATATAACTCTATCTATAAACATGATTGCATAAAATAGGGTACATCTAAATGTCGCTCTAAGTGACATCTTTTCATACACTTCACACTAAGGTCATGGACTATGAGGTAAAAATGACAAATGGATTATCAGATAATGCTTATCTCGTTTAGATCATTTTTTTCTTTTTGGAAATCAATCATGTGACATAGCTCAATGTTTTCGTGCATTAATCTCATTAAAAAATTGCTACTTTTAGGTAAAAAATTCGGCCTAAAAAAGTTATTGTTTTTGGATTATCCTAATCCCAAAGTAATCAAGTTTTCCTTTTTAGAGGTAGATCATTCCTTACAATAAATTATAATTTTGCCATAAAAGCTGAAATAAAATGCTGCATTTTTGGTGAAAATTGCGTCCGAATTAGGGAAAATTGGTGAAGATGGTTGGATTAGGAACAGCTTAAGAGATAATCCATTCAACTTGATTATTATCCTACTGTCATTTATTGAATTCAAGACATGGATCTAACAGAACCATTTGTTTTTGTGGTTAAAGTATTCTTAGAATTAAAGATATAGCCCTTTGAAAATGACAAGTGACCATTGAACAATTCTGTCCGGGCTACTAATAAGATACATAAGACTACAAATAATGCATCAATGGTTTACTATATGTAATTCAAAGTATATCTATAATTTCAACCAGGATATTCATAAGGAGCTAGAGAGGAAAGTGGCAAAGTTTCACGATAGAGAAGATGCAATACTCTATTCAAGCTGTTACGATGCAAATACAGGTAATGAACCAAGAAAACAAGTTACTACAAATCAGACACAGCTATCCCAGCTTAACATAGGTAGTACAATTAGCGGAGCTTTGAATTTGTCTTAATACTGTATTAAGGAGTTTCATATTTCAATCTTACAAGGGTCAATAAAAGTACCTGTTAATACTGGATATGTTTCTATCTTGCTGACTCGATTACATCTCTCTCTAGTTAGAGGGAACATGTTTATTAAACTAAGAAATATGTTTATCAAAGGAAATCCTACAAAGAAAACAATAATTTCCATTTGGTATTCAAATTAAATATCTATAGTGATTTGGCGCTAATACAGGAATATTGTGCGAAAAAGAGAATTGATTAAAGTCGAAAAAAGGGAGAAATTCTGACAATTGAAATCCCCATTTTGGCAAACATTACTCACTCATCCTGACGGCCACGCTGTTTCATAAAATATGCATGCGAATCTTGTCTTGAATGCACACCACAATTATTTTGCCATAGCCTGTAACGTTAACGTACAATGTTCTCAAAAAAAAAAACAGATCGAATTTACGCTAAAACACCACCCTTACATCAAAGCACATGCCCGTAGCCAGCTTTTTGTAAGGGGGGGGGGGGCTCGGATCCCCCCGAAACCCCCCGAAAAAAATTCCCCATGCTAAACCAAGCCCCTTTGTATTGTAAAGGACAGTGGTGGATCCGGAAGCTAACAAGGGGGACCCATACTTCAAGTTAGGAAAAAATATCCGCACTTGCGTGGAAAAACCTTTAAGGGCCCTAAAACCAAAATTTAGAAAATCCATGGCACGTTTTTTGACCTAACATTGAAAAAAATAAGGCCCAAAAAGGTCAAGTAATGACCAAAAAGCCCGCTGAAGAGGCCCTACAATATTTTTGGGCCAACATGTTTTTCTTGGCCAATCCTAGGGCAGCGAAGAAAAAAATTTAGGGCCCTAAAACCAAAATTCTGAAAATTCATAGCCCGTTTTTGAAAATTTGGCCTGAAATTGAAAAACAAGGCCCAAAAAGGTCAAGGAATGTCTTGAATGCACACCACAATTATTTTGCCATAGCCTGTAACGTCTCAAAAAAAACCAGATCGAATTTACGCTAAAACACCACCCTTACATCAAAGCACATGCCCGTAGCCAGCTTTTTGTAAGGGGGGGGGGGGGGCTCGGAGCCCCCCGCAACCAGCTAATAATCCAAGATATCACCTTCTGAAATTGTTTGCGATAACCCACGTGCTCCTTTATGGCCCGTTTTTTGAAGATTTGGCCTAAAATTGAAAAAATAAGGCCCAAAAAGGTCAAGTAAAAAGGTCAAGTAAAGGCCAACTAAAGAGGCCCTACAATATTTTTGGGCCCATCAAGGGGGGAGGCCCCATGCCCCCTCCTAGAACCGCAAGAAGGCTATGTTTAACAAAACACAAAGGACGATACTAAAAAAATAGAGGGAAAGGGGCATAAATATGTCCGCGAAAAAAATTGGGCCAAATTTTGAAAAAATAATGCCCAAATTCGAAAAACAATGCAAAGTAATGCCAGCTTTTTAATCTTAATTGGCCAGTGAATGTGGGGAAGAGCAAGTTTTTCTTCAAGGAAGCAAAAAGGTAGATCCACATTTTTTTAGGAGATATCAGGGGGGGGGGGCTCGGACGAGCCCCCAGAGCCCCCCTGGCTACGGGCCTGAAGCACAATGTCTTATATACCCACCAGCAGAGAAAAATAATTAAAATCGGCGCATTTTCTTGTCATGGTTTTATCCCCTCCCCCATGAAGAGCTCAATAGTCAGTGGCTGTGCAGATATTTCCAAATTAAAACGCATTGACCAACTCTAGTACAAGGCAGCTCTGATCTGCAGTGAAACTATACATAGGTCATCCTCTGACAAGGTGCTCAAAATTCTAAATTTGCCAAAATTAGAGATGAGGAGGAAATTTCAGAGACAAACTCCTTTGTTTAAGATCCAAAATCAGAAAGTTCCTTCATATGTTCAAAACATATTTGATAGATATAAGAGACAACAGCCTCCCCTCTATTTGAGAAATCCAACTGAATTTGTCCTGCCCGCTGAAAGATCTGTAATATTAAAGAAAATGTGTATTTTCACAGCAACCTCAGAATGGAATAAATTACCCCAGCAACTACAAGAGTTTGACAACATGAATATTTTCAAATCAAAATTGACACTTCTCATTTATCCTGAACCTATCTTATCATCTATCTTTTTGAATTTACCTAGATCCGAGGAAATCAGCCCCAATAGGACTAGAGTTGACCTAGTTTTCAATCGCATTTCCATGCCCACAATTTTACTCGGGCTGATACTCCAAAATGTAAGCGTGGTTTCAAGAATGAATCATCCAAACATGCCATCAGAAATTGATCAGAACCTATTCCTTTTTGGCAGCTTAAAATTTAGCCTCGCTACAAACTTAACTGTCCTTGAAACTAGTGCCTCTTTTCTCAAGAAATGTGAAAGTGTCTTAATATTAGCCGCAAATCTATGTACTACTTAATTCACTACTTTGCTTACAAAAGGGATTGTTCTTTTTAAATAAATGTTTGTCTACTCACCCTGCGACTTATAATCTACTAAAAAAGTCGCTTTTTGGAAATTTTCTTGTAATATATTACTGTATTGAATAAAACATGATAAATAAAAAAAGTCAGTGACCAAATAACTCAAAATTAAGCTTTGTATAAATGCTGATTGGGGTAAATGTCCCCAATTGCATTACATAATTACATTTATATATCGATATCTTTATGATTTTGTGGCAGGCTGCACCGCACAAAATTATATTATGTATCCTTTCTTAATTTGGGCTGATTTTGGTATAGCAGGCTGCACCGTATACCAAACCAGTGCATTACATAATACTACGTGTGTGCATAATTTTCTTATAATTTTGTGACAGGCTGCACCGCACAAAATTATGTTCTGTATTCATTGTTAACTTGCGATGTTTGGTATAGCAGGCTGCACCGTATACCGACTCGTATCTCATGCATTACAATGACATACTCGTTTCTTTTGACGAAATGCTGAGGCAGGTCGCTCCGCTCAGCATTGTGTCAAGATTGCTTTATAGATGGCAGTTTTACCATTCTGTTATTGGAAGCCTATTCTTACACGAATAGGCTCATAGCATATGAGAATCGATAAGTTGCCAAATGTTATTTCATGTATTTTATGTATAGTATAATGTAATTAAGTAATTGTATAACCAAAATATATTCTTATTACAAGGGATGATCAACAACTAACGCAAATAGAGCACTATCTCAGAAACTAGTTAGAGAACACTAAACTTGGTACATAGTATCACCAAACATTCATCAATATTTCCAAATAATTACAGGCACAAACATTGATATATGTCAAAGTTACAGTTACCATAGTAATCCGTGGTATGGGTACATGAAGCAGGTCTTAAATATTAAGTAGCATAAGGATTTAGCATACGGCAACCATGTGATGGGCACCTGAAGCAACTCAAAGATATGATGTCACAATTTTTTAATAATCATTTTTCATGCTTATAACTAATGCATGCTCAGTTCATGTTAAATAGTGAGAGTTGTATCAATCATAACCAGCTGCTCTACTTTTTTAATCATCTCGGCCGAGCATGTTGTTTTTGGAGCACCTGAACGTGAAGCGTCTTGGGCAAATCTTCTTGGCTTTTCAGAAATTGTTCTGTACTGTACCATCCGTAGACATTGCTCAGTCCATTTTTATCATGTTATGACTTCTTTAGCACCTCATAAGTTTTTTTGCAGTGATATTTCATCCTAAACACAGCATTATATCAGTTCTGTGTCTTCTAATGGAGATCGGACGTTTTCAATACAACCATTTTTCAGTATAGTTTACTTGACTTTGATTTCCTCCATGCCTGTGTCTTCTGTCATCCTATCGTTGGGTATCGAGATGTATAATGAAAAACCTAATCTTGGGTAGGCATAATGACATCACAATTAAAAGTAGACCACATCAATTAACAAAAGCTTTTCAGAATTGATTTACACCCAAATAACATCAAATCTGTATGACTTAACAGTGTCTTCCAAACTCATTTTGGACAGATGTTCAATACCTAATTGTTATGAATCCCGACCTGCTTCAGGTGCTCATACCACGGGTTGCTATGGCAACCGTAACTCCGACATTAAGTAATATTTGTGCCTCGGAGTTTGTGGAAATAATAATGAATGTTTGGTGATACGATGTATCAAATTTGGTGTTCTAATTCCAAATATTTTCTGAGATAGGGCTCTATTTGCGTTATTTGTTGATCGCCCCTTGTATATCATATTGTAATAAAACGTGTATTGTCATTTTCATAAAATAAATGCACAGTTTTTCTGCAGTGAGAACGAAATAGGGTTTTTCCTTGTAGGATTCTTTGAGGTCTTGCTGAATGATCAAGATGCTGTCATCTCAGATGCACTGAACCACGCCTCAATTATAGATGGCATTAGGTTATGTAAGTCCAAGAAATATAGATACGCACATGGAAACATGATAGGTAAGTGACCGGTGAATTGTATAACCATGCCTCAGTTGTAGGTGGTATTAGGTTATGTAAGGCCACGTGGAAACATGGACGGTAAGTGACCAGTGTATATCTTGACGGCTTCAGGCGGAATTTTTGAAGAAGTTGACACTGAACTCACATTTTTTCACTTTGCACCTTTTGAGGTGGATCCCGGCTATGGCATTAATGATTGAGAATATGGGATCAAAACAAGCCATAGTTTTCTCCTGATGACCATTGTGAATTATTGTATTTCATGGAATGGCTGTTGTCCCATTGAAATGCCAATGGACTTTTTGTCTGTCCCTTATCATTTTAGACCGAATTTTGTATGGATACTTGTATCTACAACTATTTTTGATGTTATAAGTATTGGACAGGTTCGGTTTAGACGGTTATATTTGAATTTAAAACAGCCATAACTTGCTCAATATTGACTTCTTCGTGTCCAATTTGAAATCTATGATTCCCCCGAATGATTTGAAGAAGCCCAATTTTTTACAGATTTTTAAACGAACCAAAATTCTTTAAATGCGCCTTTCTTTTCTTTTCTCTCGAGAAGGACGTTCTCATTTTCGCAATAACTTTTCTTTGGTACTTCCAACATATAAAATATATTTTTCTACATCAAGGTATGATGCAAATGACATGCAATTCACATCTCATGAGTTTCACTGACGCACGTTTGATTTTATAAACAAATCCAAACTTGGTTACAAAGATTTTTCCAATGCTTGCAGTGGGAAGAATTGCTAACAATTTTGCACCAAACCGGTCCATCTTCCCGCTGCAAGCAGGGGAAAAATCTTTGTCAACAAGTTTGGAATTTTTTATAAAATCAAACGTGCGTCATGCACGTTACACGTCATTTGCATCATACCTTGGTGTAGAAAAATATATTATATATGTTGGAAGTACCACAGAGAAAATATATTACTAAATATTAAGTATTAAATTCAAATAAAACCATTAAACCGAACCGGTCCAGCTTTTGCACCAAACCGGTCCATTTTCGTTAGCTGCGTATATTAAGGGTGGGAATGTCCCTTTATGTTCTGGTCTTGGACTGATATTGGTTCTTGAATAGTGGGGAAAGGATATTCGACATTGTTTTTCCACGTTAGATCATGGTCCTGTGATATATGGGGGTTATTTTTCTTAAAACTGGTATACACTCGGTATACACTTAGAGTTTACTTTTCTTGCTAGGTAACATTACAACTTTTGGTCCTTTCTCTTGGCACATTTGCTAAGATATTTGCGCACTAAAACATAATTTGATAATCCAAACGAACGAAGTTTTGTGGGGACACAGTGGAGCCCTTAGTCCGCCTGTTTGTCAGGAAGATAACTTAAATAGTGGTGGACGGATTTTCTTCATATTTGGTGGCAAGATGTACCCAGACTGGTGAATAGTTTTACTCAAAAACAATTTCAAGATGGTCGTTTTATCGTTTTAAGAGAGTTTTTTTGAGGAAAATTTTTCAATAAAAACCATAGTGATAAATATTGTTATTTGAGAGTTTGACTTTCACATATCGCTTTTCAGATTTTGACCTCGTAGAATTCAAAATTGTCGCCAATTTTGGGATTTTGCAAAACATTTCTGATTTCCTAAAGTATGGCAATATTATATTCAAATTGAAGGAAGTTTAGAGTAGAGTAGAGTAGTATGATATTGTTTTTCTGATTCGTGCCTCAGAAAATTCAAAATGGCTGCCTATAAACATTACCACATAACTGCCAAAGATCTCTACAATTAGCTCCACTCTGTAACCCCCCTATCACACCAAACTAGTTCTTACCCGTTCTTGCCAGTCCTACGAAAACGTCGTAAAACGGGCTCAATCTTGCTGTGACCGGGGAATATCGTATGTCTAAAACAATTAGCTACTTCGTTCATAAACAGTGTTCAATACGTCCATCTCATTCGCAGTTCGTTCAGGTCGCACCACGTCGGTGTACAACGTCGTATAACGCGTCCCTTAGTCTAGAAGGTCACCATGACCTGATTAAAGAACGGTATGGTCGCCATCAAATTTTGAATTGATTCAAAATTTTAAATCACATTCCCCGTCCAAGAAAGTCCGTCAGGTTCGTAAACAGACCGTAGAACGTTGTAGCTACATTCCTTCCGTTCGCAAACAGTTTAAAACCAGTTTTGAAGAACGCAGTGGCAACTTGCTTTGTGAGATAGTTATATTTTTGCTAACTCGTTGATGAATACGTTATTAATCAGTTTTAACCCGTTTGCAATTAGTTCTACCTCGTTCTCAATACGTCCTCAGACAGTTTAAATCGTTGTTAAAACGTCCCTAGTAGGATTGAAGTACGACGATTCCGTTCGTAGTACGTCCAGCTCGTCTTTAGTAGGTTGTCACTCGTTCTAATCATCCCATCGAACGAAGTTCGGAGGGATATAAGGAACGCCTCCATCCGTCCGTCTGTACGTACGTCCGTCCGGGTAATAACTCAAATACCGTTGGCCCGATTTTGTTCATATTTTGTACACATATACCCAATGGGGGTAGAAGTTCTGCTCGAAAACTGATTTTCAAAATGGCCGCTCATTTAAAAATGGCGGCCATTTTAGTGCCGATTTTACAGTTATTTAGGTACTGCATATAAAACTGTAATAGCGATATGTTTTAGATGTAAAAAAGTTATATAGGACATTGATTGAGCTAGAAATGTAAATATAGAAGAAATACATGGCAGACATCTTGAAAAATGGCTGCCTTTGCACGTCATTTAACGATTTTTGCTGTAACTTGAAAAGTAGTGGAGCGATTTTGTTCATATTTGGTATGTGAATATTTTAAGCATGGCACAATGTCTAATGACAGCTTGGGTAGTAGGCGGCCATATTTCAAAATGGCCGCCATTTACGTGTGTTATTTAACATTTTTTACTGCAACTCAAAAAATAGTGGAGCGATTTTGTTCAAATTTGGTATGTGAATACTTTAAGCATGGCACAATGACATTTTGGGTAGTAGGCGGCCATCTTGAAAAATGGTCGCCATTTTACATATTTTATTTTACTTTTTTTTACTATAACTCAAAAAGTAGTAGAGCGATTTTGTTCATATTTTATATGTGAATACTTTAATCATGGCACACTGTCTAATGACACTTTGGGTAGTAGGCGGCCAATTTGAAAAATGGCCACAATTTTTACGTTTTTTGCTATATATTTCGTATGTAAAAATGTCAGCCATTTCTGTTTGATAGGATTCGCTACGCTTTGGCGTTGCCGTTGTTCTGGTTGTAGAACGTGACGACCAAGAGAACATTTTGAGCATGTTCCAAGTTCTAGAGGACCTACCCGTTCGAATACGTTCGATAAAGTTTGTAAATAGACCCCAAATGGTTCTAAGTACGTCCAGTCCGTTCGTACACACTTGAAGCCCGTTTTCGAGAACGTAGTGAGAACTAGTTTGGTGTGATGGTAGGGTAATATTGCTTTAAAGGACGAGTGTCTTAAAGACCCTATATTAGCCCCAATATATTGACAATAAATTGTACAGGATATCAAAGAAGGGACTTTGTTTGATAACCAAATCCAAAAATTAGGTCATTCTGACCTTTATATTTCAAAATATAGGTCATTCTATTAACATGTATAAAATGGCCTTTTGAAGGAAAATCACTCTTCACAACATAATTGTCCTTCTGTTTCATTATCAGAATAATAATTATCTTTAAGACTTTTTCCTATTTGATCTTTTTGGTATTATCTTACATCACAGTGAGGACGCACAAAGGGTAACACTAGAAAACACATAAAAATGCATATCAAACTAATGTTAGAATATTGATCTTCTTTATATTTCATTGAGATGAACTGTCCACAAACAGTTTGCAAAAAATGTGTCAGAAAAGAATATTGAGTATATATTGAGGAAGAACAAGGGACACCATTGAAAAACAAATTAAAGTAATTAACAAGTCAAAAATGCATATCAATCAATTATATTATGCTTCATTGAGATTAATTGCTCAAATACAGTTTGCATTAAAATGGCAGTAAAATACTGAATTCATTATTTTACATGACAGTGAGGAAGTACAAGGGGCAACATTTGAAAACACACAAATTAAGACAATTTCTAAAATGTTACTCTGGACTTTACATTATTGTTGTACTTCAATCTATAACAGTGTAAATGAGCACATTCATGTCTTTGATAATTATAAGAAACTCTAGGAGCTATCATCATCTTCTTAAGATGACACATTTTAGGCATATCTTTTAGATTTTAAAAATCAAACTCTGTGCATTTCCTATGGAAGGCACCCCTCGTGTCTTCCATTGACTAGGAACCAAATAACACATGCAATGTGTGCACATGAATCAAAAACCCTACTCCCAATTGCGCATGGGTAATACCATCCAGTCATTGCATCAGTACTATTACATATATCTGGATTTGGGTTGTACTCCACCCATGTATAGTGAGATTTGAAGGACACAAACCTTGAATGGATTTTTACACATAAAAATTAATACTTTTCATTGACAAAACTGCCACCTGCCACATGAGAATTAAATGATTGTACAACAATCCTTTTAATTATGCATCTACATTTACATGAATGTAGAGAAAGGAATTTCATATTATTATGTTGCTTAAGGCTATGGAAAAAAAAATATATGATTCTCAAGAGGCCATGCTTAGGTGCGAGCATACATATTAGTTCATGAAATTATCATATGAATTAAGAAAATATACTTAAATATATAAAACACAATTGTCACAATCATTCTAAGGGTTTTCAAAATGGCTGACATCATTTACTTCATGCTGACAATTGCATAAAAGTTACATTTTTGCATAACGCTAGGTCCTTACCTAAATTTTGATATATCTCAAGAAGTACCTTTAGTTAGAAGTACACTATTCCCTCACTTCATATAACTTTCTAGGTAAGTACCTAGCGTTATATGAACAAAGCAAGAGTTTCTCATTACTTTCCTCTCTCTAAAAATAAGAAGGTCAACACAATTGCAAACATAATTAATCCCAATTTAATGGCTATTGAAATATGACTACTTATGTGTGTAACTATTTATGTTCGGTGAAGCGGAACGCAGTGTAGCGACTTGAGAACATAAATGATTTCTATTGGCTGAACGGTTTGGCGGTTATTTGTGTTTGGAGTGAGTAAGTGTTAGGAGCACGTCATTCAAAGACATCTCATCCCAAGACAACTCATCACTAAGATAACTCTTCCCAACTTGAAATATAATATAATTTGGTACAATTAATTTCAACTTTTGAAAGAATATTTGAGACATATTTAGCAGTTAGCACACTGTGTTTGGCCATATAATATCTTTTGTATTGTGTAGTTAGTATAGCCTAGTTTTAGTTCATTTTTGTTGATTGATTGGGATGAAGATAAACATGTTCAAATTAATATTTACTTTGATTATTAAATCAAAGATCATCAAGGGTGTCAGATTAGGATTAATGCAATAAGATTGTATTGTCCGGGGTATTATCAGAATAATTCTCCCAGATTAATTCAGTCTTTGTTTTAAAATACTTTGTTTAATTCCAATATGTTATATTTGGCTTATTCTTATATAAGATTTTCAATTTTAAACTTTCAGAATCATGATGATTGAATTTGGAAATTATGTCTTTGACTTTTATCTCCAATTCTATATTCTCAAATATATTGAGAGTTTGAGAATAGCCCAGAATTAATAAAAAATACCGATACGTAAAAGTAGAACATAACTTTCAAGTGCCTTTTCAAAATGGTAAAAATTATCAATATTTAGATTGAGTACTAGTGTAATAATCAAATATCACTTTGTAATCGTAAAAATGGAAAAGGGATATACAGGGTGGGCCAAAAAAAAGTTCACCCTTTTTCATTTTAATCTCATTTTTTTATTTTTGATGCGATCCCTTAAAAAATTGATATGTAGATAACTGAGACATTTCTAAACAAGGTCGATATAAAACATTAGGTGTGTCTTTGGCTGTTTTGTTTTTAAAGTAAATGTTCAACATGTCCTCCTTGTTCCTGCACAACCAGTTTTAGTCTATGACGCCATTTATTTATTGCCGCGTTAATTGATTGTTGTGATAATTGTTCCCAACATAAAGTTATTCTTTGTTGGAGTTCTTGAACTGAATGGATGGGAACACTATGAACATGTTTTTTCTAGTTCACCCCACACAAAATAATCCATAACATTGAGATCAGGGCTATTTGGGGGCCATAAGTCAGGGGGGATAAAATCAGGTGCATTGGCATGCAAGAACTCCATTGTCGCTTTAGATGTGTGCGAGGGAGCCCCATCTTGTTGGAATATGTAGTTTGGATTGATGCGATTCATATCCTTTAATAAGGACTTTTTAGCACTCTTATATTAATTATATTATGTAGAATTTAATAACTTATTCATTTGTAATTATATCATAAGTGTATTACATAAAACCATCAAATTATTATCAATATTGTGAACGCAAAAATGAGGAAAATTGGATAAAACCATGGATTTTCAGTAACTTGTTGACCAACTCATCTATGGTAGTATCGGGTGTTTATAAGAGTACTTAATTGTTTAAAGAGGTGTTTATCATCAACTCTGACTATTAATTAACACTCTACTTTGTAATATTTTGCATTAACTGACATAAAAATTATATTTACCATGATAACTTCTTTTCAAATTTCCCTCCTTTTTTGAAATCCGCCATTTTGTAAATGAAGTGAATTTCTGTTTTTTTTTTCATGACACACCATAAATATATTTTAGGTGTCATGACAACACTGTTGCATCAATTTCACTCAAATCCTAACAACATGTACAGAAATGTCTGAGCTATATACATATCAATTTTTAGAGGCATTGCATCAAAAATAAGAAAATTAGATTAAAATGAAAAAGGGTGAACTTTTTTTTGGCCCACCCTGTATATATAATATAGAGGACTAATTAAATAATTTATCAATTATACTAGTGGAATGAGTTGTCTAGAAACCGTCTATATAGCCATTCGTTCTTTTAGCTCAAGATGTGAGCTATTGAATAATATGACCACAACCAACTCATTTTCTTCAAAGGAAGAGGTGCGTTTATTGGCAAATACCCCTATGGTCAAAATGAATAATTCTTAGGTGTAACATGAAGAATAGAATGTCATATAACTCTTTGGAAAATATTAAAGTGCTCAGGCACACATACATGTAGGCTGAGATAGGGGCCATTTAGATTAGTGAGGTTGTATTGACTTACATGGGACTGTTCATCATTGAGGCCATTGGTTTCTATTGATTATCACAAAAATACTGAAAATACACTATGACCTGAACCGATTGCAAACTTAATAATTTCACAATATGACACTATTGGTTTATCTCATCAAATGTGCAAATATGAAGTTTGCAATCGATTCAGGTCATACTTAGAATTAAAAGATTGTACATTTTTTCATCATTTTTTCCCCTACAAAATGGCTATAGAAAAATGCTCCAAAAACAACTTTTGCACTTATCAAAAATCATACAACTTTGTAAAACCAAAGAATATACTATTTTATTTCATTATGTAGTAACATATTTGGATAAGATGTAGGGATGCGTAGGATGCTAATGGATTTTGACAGACACAAAAATACTTCCTGGTTTGGAATCATATGCCTCTACACTTCATGATTGAATTATGACCTTAATAAGTGGCCTATACATCAATACAGTGGTGAATATAGGTCAACAAGATACTAGTGGGCATATAAATGTTATAACTAAAGCAGAATACTCATTTTGAAAAATCAGATGAATTATTTTTTTCTCATGGGGAGATCCCAATGGAGGGTGTATAAGGTCCTTTGTAAACATAAAAGGAAAACAGTTTTTCTGGTTCATATATTGTATGGCTATTTGATGATGTGTAAAAACTGAATCCCCTTGGAAATATAAAAGTATCGTTGTTTCATCATATATAGCATTTTTAGAATCTTATAAACGTGATTTGTCTTTGTTTGAAGAGTTGGAGTCGCAGTTGAAAGAGAGCCAGGGTTGCAGAATGAGGCTCATTGTCACTGAAGGTGTTTTCGGTATGGATGGGACAGTGGCCAAATTAAGGTATACATACCTTTGACATCTTATAACTTAAGTTGAACCATTTAGCTCCATGTCTGCATAGGGCTTCGTGAAAGCGTATCCAAAACTGTCTAAGGACAACCTTTTGATTTTTCAAATGTTAACCATTTTGTGACTTATTGTCTAAAAATAGATAACATAGATAACAGACTAAAACTACATTCATATACATGTCATTTTTATTTCAATAATATTTATGTATTTCAGAGAGATCTGTGACCTGGCAGAAAAGTACAATGCCTTGGTCTTTATGGATGAGTGTCATGCTACTGGTTTCTTTGGACACACTGGCAGGTGGATAGCCTGATACCTTTATTAGACTCCAGATTGAAAATCTGGAGTCTATTGTTTTTGCCTGTTTTCTTTATTATTAGACTCCAGATTGAAAATCTGGAGTCTATTGCTTTTGCCAGTTTTCTTTATTATTATTATTATTATTCCTCCTCACCAAATTTCTCGTCAACTATAACAGCTTACTTAATCCAACTTACATGGTTAACTAAGGACTGTATCCGGCTTTCTGGGAAATTAGGTCAAATTTCTATCTAGGTCATAGGTCAAGAACTAGGTCAAATCGTTGATTTTCACTAATTCACCACTTTTCTCAGTCGTCTTTCAATATTTTTGCTCCGGGTTTTTTTCATCATGTTCCTTGGAAAAAACGCTAATTCCGAAAGGCAAATCATTTTTTGATTACTCTTACCGATTTTGAGATATTGCGTCCGAAAAGTAGGTCAGAACAAAAAACTCTCCAAATTCAACATAAAAGTTATGAAATAAGTGTAGAATGATCTCAGGAATCCGAATCTGCAAACCAAATTTCGATCCGACTTCCGGTTCGGAAGTTATGGCGTTTTGAAAGCTCAAAAATCGCTAAATTTGGTGCCTATGTTAAGTCAATGGGAAAAAAGACTTTTTCGAAGTGTAAAATACAGGATATAGACTGAGTACAGCTTAACATAATGAATGCTTATAAAAGAAGGGGACCTCAAAAGCTACATAGTTTCAAAATTTGGACACCAAAATGCCTAGGTCAAAATCTAGGTCAAATTCATAGTGTTTCCTTATTTTTACGATTCTGACACTACACTTGAATAACTTACTTCCAAATTTTGTATACAGGTAGCAAAGAGTGTGCTAATAGTGTTAGCCTTTTGCCGTCAGAAAGTATTTTGACCCACTTTTGAGATATGGTGTCCAAAAAGTAGGTCAAAATAAAAAGTTCTCCAGATCCAACGTATGAGTTATGAATTAAGGGTAGAATTTTCTCAGGAATCCGAATCTGCAAACCAAATTTCGATCCGACTTCCGGTTCGGAAGTCATGGCGTGTCCAAAAAGTAGGTCAAAATAAAAAATTTCCAAATTTAACGTATGAGTTATGAATTAGGGATAAAATTTTGTCAGGTATCCGAATCTGCAAACCAAATTTCGATCTGACTTCCGGTTCGAAAGTTATGGCGTTTTGAAAGCTCAAAAATCGCTAAATTTGGTGCCCCATGTTATGTCAATGAGAAAAAGGATTTTTTGAAGTGTAAAATACCAGATATAGACTGAGTACAGCTTAATATTCTGAAAGCCTATAAAAGGAGGGGACCTCAAAGACTATCTAGCTTTAAAATTTGGACGCAAAAATGCCTTGGTCAAAATCTAGGTCAAATTCATAGTTTTTCCTTATTTTTGCGATTCTGACATTACACATTAAGGATTTGCTTCAAAATTGTGTATACAGGTAGCAAAGAGTGTGCTTATAGTGTTAGCCTTCTGCCGTCAGAAAGTTTTTTGACCCACTTTTGAGATATGGTGTCCGAAATGTAGGTCAAAATAAAAAATTCTCCAAATTTAACGTATGAGTTATGAATTAAGGGTAGAATTTTCTCAGGAATCAGAATCTTCAAACCAAATTTCGATCTGACTTCTGGTTAGATATTTATAGCGGTTTGAAGTCTCGAAAAGTCGATATGATGATATCCCCATGTTAAGCTAATAGAGTCGAAGATAGCCTTCTTAAAAGTTGTCTAAATGTCTATATTCTAGCTGACTCAGCTTATTCTGAATGACTCAGCTTACAAGTTCTGGATGACTCAGCTTAAACAAAGTTTGAAATCTGGAGTCTTAAATTGAACTTGTTCAATTTACATGTCTAGTTATTATTATTTTTCTTTCTTTTTTCTTCCTCCTCACCAAATTTCTCGTCAACTATAACAGCTTACTTAATCCAACTTACATGGTTAACTAAAGACTGAAACCGGCTTTCTGGGAAATTAGGTCAAATTTTTATCTAGGTCAAAGGTCAAGAACTAGGTCAAATCTTACATTTTCAACATTCTTCATCATATCTTCGTCAATATTCTTCGTAACTCCTTCATCTTTTTTTCATCGTGTAGCTTAGAAAAAGGCGAATCAAAGATATGACATCAGAATTTTGATTACTCTTACCGATTTTGAGATATGGCGTCCGAAATGTAGGTCACGCCTAAACATGCTCCAAATCGAATGTGTGAGCTATGAAAAAGATGTAGAATTTTCTCAGGAATCAAAATCTGCAAACCAAATTTAGATCAGACTTCCGGTTCGGAAGTTATGGCGTTTTGAAAGCTCAAAAATCGCTAAATTTGGTGCCTATGTTAAGTCAATGGGAAAAAAGACTTTTTCGAAGTGTAAAATACAGGATATAGACTAAGTACAGCTTAACATAATGAATGCTTATAAAAGAAGGGGACCTCAAAAGCTACATAGTTTCAAAATTTGGACACCAAAATGCCTAGGTCAAAATCTAGGTCAATTTCATAGTGTTTCCTTATTTTTACGATTCTGACACTACACTTTAATAATTTACTTCCAAACTTTGTATACAGGTAGCAAAGAGTGTGCTAATAGTGTTAGCCTTTTGCCGTCAGAAAGTATTTTGACCATCTTTTGAGATATGGTGTCCGAAAAGTAGGTCAAAATAAAAAGTTCTCCAGATCCAACGTATGAGTTATGAATTAAGGGTAGAATTTTCTCAGGAATCCGAATCTGCAAACCAAATTTCGATCCGACTTCCGGTTCGGAAGTTATGGCGTGTCCAAAAAGTAGGTCAAAATAAAAAATTTCCAAATTTAACGTATGAGTTATGAATTAGAAGTAGAATTTTGTCAGGAATCGGAATCTGCAAACCAAATTTCGATCCGACTTCCGGTTCGAAAGTTATGGCGTTTTGAAAGCTCAAAAATCGCTAAATTTGGTGCCCCATGTTATGGCAATGGGAAAAAAGATTTTTTTGAAGTGTAAAATACGAGATAAAGACTGAGTACAGCTTCACATAATGAAAGCCTATAAAAGAAAGGGACCTCAAAAGCTAGCTAGCTTCACAATTTGGTCACCAAAATGCCTAGGTCAAAATCTAGGTCAAATTTATAGTTTTAACTTATTTTTGCGATTCTGACACTACACTTTAATTATTTGCTTCAAAATTTTGTATACAGGTAGCAAAGAGTGTGCTAATAGTGTTCGCCTTTTGCCGTCAGAAAGTATTTTGACCCACTTTTGAGATATAGTGTCCGAAAAGTAGGTCAACATGAAAGTTTCTCCAAATTTAACGTATGAGTTATGAATTAAGGGTAGAATTTACTCAGGAATCCGAATCTGCAAATCAAATTTCAATCCGACACCCGCTTTGGAAGTAATGGCGTTTTGAAAAATTAAAAAATTGGTATTTTGATATCCCATGTTATGTCAATTATCTTTGTCACTATTCGTCGTTATTCCTTTATCTTTTTTTCATCATGTAGCTTAAAGACAGTCCTTTCATTATTGTAACTGTCTTTTTTGATTACTCTTACCGATTTTGAGGAATGGCGTCTGGAAAGTAGGTCAACATAAAAAGTTTTCAAAATTTAATGTATGAGTTATGACACAAACGTAGAATTTTCTCAGAAATTCGAATCTGCAAACCAAATTTCGACCCAAATTCTGGTTAGATAGTTATAGCTGTTTGAAGTCTCGAAAAGTCGACATTATGATATCCCCGTGTTAAGCCAATGTAGACAAAGATAAGCTACTTAAGAGTTGTCTAAATGTCTGTATTCTAGATGACTCAGCTTATTCTGAATGGCTCAGCTAACAGTATTTTGGATGACTTAGCTTAAAAAAAGTTTTAAATCTGGAGTCTTAAATTGAACTTGTTCAATTTACATGTCTAGTTATATTTTTATTACATGTTTAATTTTGTTATTATTTAACTTCACCAGGCAGGTCGTTCAATAAGTTCACGGAAAATGCTTTCATTTCAAAGGTTCTCAATATGTTTTTATGAAATGTTCACATATCATTCACAAAATATCAGTTTATCGATTCCTGAAGTATAAGCAACTTATTGAAAGACCTGGTATATATGAAGTTCTATGCGCATATAAATACTGTGGTCGGATGCAAGGAGGATTGGCTCCCAGGATCGCAACTCGATATTTTCCAATAACGAAAACGTCAGAATGTCGTTATTTTCTGAAATTATACCTGACTTTAAATTCAAAATAAAAAGTTCAAAAGATTCGGACCAGTATTATTTTTTGTGAGTTTTGGAATTTTTCGTTCGGATATAAGACCAAAATTCACGATTCAAATGTTGAAGTGAACAAAATAGCGGCAGCTTGAATTCAAATTTCGTAATAACGACATCTTCATTGAGGCAAAAATATCGATGTTGCATTCTGGGAGCCAAATCTCTTCGGGTTGGATGATTATAAAAACATATATAATATAGATATCTAAGCACGAGTGCCAAAGGGTACACTTCAATGAATTATTGTTTTTGGGGGTAAAATTTAAGAATTGACCCGAGCCCTTATTTAGACAATGCCATGAGTGTGTATTTCTATAGGGGCACAGAAGAACATTGTGGTATAATGGGTCGTGTTCACTTCATCAACTCCTCCCTGGGGAAAGCCCTGGGTGGGGCCTCAGGGGGTTATACTACTGGTTCAAAGCAAATTGTTGATCTACTACGCCAGAGGTCTCGGCCATATCTATTTTCTACCACTGTAGCGCCACCACTTGTTGCAATTGCAAACAAGGTAACATAATTATATTAATCAAAGTTGAAATCAATTGAAGGTGCATCGTCTATGAGATGAGATATATTAGTACAGTTATTTTTCTGAGATTAGTTCACATGTTTCAAAAATATATCTTCAATCGTTTTTGGTCCAGTCTGTTATTACCCAACATTTATAGAATTATATAGTCAGACTATCTTTCGGCTGGTGATCGGGGGAAGCTAGTCAATCGTTATTTCGTATTTTAGAAATACTTTATATCTTAACAAAAATCTTGAAATGTAATTTATAAAAAATTTCTCCAAACTTAGCGTGGTCAAGATGGTTGCCATCGATATGACAATGCTGGTTCATTTTTTACTTCATTTTGTTATTACATTTCCAAGTGATATAATGTTATCCTGTAAATGTTATTCCCTTATATAATTGTCTAATCAATTTTAGAAATACATTTACATTTCAGGTATTCGAAATCTTGTCAAAGAATTCTGATCTGCCTGAGAAAGTCAAAAGAAACACTCATAGGTTTAGGGAAAGGATGACAAAAGCTGGATTTACCCTAATAGTATGTCCCTCATTTTGTAAAAAGATTTATCTAATATACCTATGTAAGCGAAAATGCAAACGGGAAAACACCAAAATGGTCACAGAAAACAGCGAGAATAATAAAACATCTAAGGGTAAACCAATCATAAGGAAATTAAACCCCATATTATCCCGAATCACAATTCAACGTGAAAAGAAACTATAGAGAATTTTCGTTATACAAGGGGCGATCCATATATGCTGATAAAAATGCTCTCATTTTGTGATTTTTTCACATATCCCTTTCATTTTTTCAGAACATGTAGATTATGTAATTACACATACGATGCTAAAATATTTTAGCTATATCTTTAATTAATTTTGAAATAAGGTTGACATGGTAACCTGTATTTAAGGTAGGCAGGTCAGTTAAATAATAACGTCTAAAATAGATAAATATGTTAATTTAATCATTCCTCGGTACCTATTTTAAGCAGATCAGACGCATCTTCCAGTCATTGCCAACTATTCATTGATGTGTTCCATACCCCTATTGCCCTTGTTTGCTAATTTATACAGTGGGATAGCTATCTTTTCATAAGTAACTCTCAATTTATCGAAGTGTTATTCTCTGTTCGCAAGCTCCTCTTGCAACCAGATTGTGGATGATCTTCAACAGTGACCATGCCTTCCTCTTTACGATACTACCTATAGATTCTTTATGCAGATATAACACCTTGCCCATGCACTTAATGAGTCCAGGTATGTCTCTGACAGTGTCCTCTTACTCATTCTTGAAAGAAAATAAAATCTAATGGTATTCCCTAATGTATCCATTAATGTTACATTCTGCATCAGCCACATTAACTTCATCTGACAATTTTATTTTTGGTGTGTCTCATAACATGTAATGTCAATTGGCCCATTCTGTCCTACAATGGTATTGTGATTATTTGTGATGTTATAGTGAGCACATATACAACATTTGTTTGTCAACAAACAACGAGTAACAATAACAAACTTTTTTAGAAAAAATGCATGATTTCTGCATGCTTTAAAATAATTAAAATAACAAGTTATTATGATATTTAAATGTTATAATTTAATTGACCTGCCTACCCTTAATACAGGTTACCATGGCAACCCTATCTCATTAATAATTTAAGATATAGCTATAATATTTTAGCATTGTATGTGTAATTACATAATGTACATTTCCTGAAAAAATAAGAGGGATATGTGAAAAAATCACAAAATGAGAGCATTTTTATCAGAATATATGGATCGCCCCTTGTATAGTTTAAAGGGTCTTGTCGAACTAAAATCTATTCAAATTGATTTTCATAATCTGTACCAAGTGGGGCATAACTATTCCCGATATAGTCAAGCTCCATCATCAACTAGGGACTGCGAATACAATGTCCTTTGCTAGTGTCAATTATGAACACGATAAACTAAACGCTAGTTGACGGGTCCTTGTAGTGTACGATAAACAAGACCCTTTAAAGTGAATCACTACACGAACGAGTCGATCATTTCAAAGTTCTCATGAAATTATAAGGTCAATTTTTAAGTTTTTACGTATAAAAGGGCCTTTATACGCAGATTATAAACTAACAGAGTTGGATCTCCGCACAGTATATGTGTGGACCTACTGACCAGAATGGCTTATTAAAATTAATCGGCTGAATAGGGATAGTATCCAATCAAACAGCTCGACTCATTTATTAGCTGAACTAATTCTCCCTTCGTTATTTCTACAAGGTGATTCAAAACGATCATCTACAAAAAATATATTTGAGAGTAGATAAATCTGTAAAACCCGTGTGCTATATCAGCCTATTTGATTCTAGAAAACTCATATGACACAACTAAACATGCTTTACATCAAGGGGGTACGGATGGTATGCCATTGGCCCTTTTTATTACCGTCCTAGGAGATATTTCCCGACGAATTAGGAAATTATGAAACACCTTGTTTATTGGGTTTATAAGTATAAGTATACGTATAAGTTTTTAAAAAACTTATAACGAAAATTCTCTAATGTCTAATCCCCAACCTAGCCATTTTTAAATATATTATTAATATCACAATCCGAGTCCATGACACATTGAATTCATTACTGAAGTTATTACAATACATGTTGAAGAAAAAATATAAATTGATAGCCAATACTCATAACATCAAAAATAGTTGTAGGTACTAGTATTCATACAAGATAGAGAATTCAGTCTCAAATGGGACAGACAACATCGATTCTCGAAGTCAATAGCATTTCAAAGGGTCGACATCCATCCGCAAAGCCGTCGCCATAATCCATTAAACGCAATAGTTCACGAGGTCATCAGGGGAAAACGACGCCACGGAGCAAGGCGAGAATTGCCCACCCGAAATCAAAACAGCAATTTCATAACAATGATATATCAAAAAGTTGTTGCTATAAGTACACCTCCCCTCAGACTTGTCATACACAAAATGTAGATTCAATGATAATTGCCACAAATGCGACTCTCAAACTGATTATCATATCATACGACCTAACTTGGGGTCATACGATCCAACGATTGTTCAGGCAGTGTTTCTACAACTTAATAACAATAAATAACTGATTATAAGAATTCCTATTATGCAGTTGAATCTCAAATCGCATGGGTTAATCGGCAGAACGAGGACATTTGAAACTCCTTTTTAATCGCTAAATTCCTCCATCTATTGGTACACCCGGGCTCTGCAAATTAAGGTGGTTCCCCTTCCGACATTTTGAAAAGAGCGGAGATTTCAAATGTAAAAGGAAAATCTCCCCTTTCTGCCGATAAACCCATACAATTGGGGATTCAACTACATAACAAGAAGCCAGATATACCCAGGAATGTATTGAGGTAGGTCATTTAAAAGTGTACGTTGTAGAAACACTGTCTGAACAATGGTTGGATCGTACGACCACAACGTATGGGTCGTAGAATATGATAATACAACTGCCACACACCTATCGGTAAAATGTTTCAATACTTTTCATCCCGACCCTCATGCAAGCCGCCCATTTTCATGTGACACACAACAAAAAATGCAGCCTCTCTTCCAAAAAATTCCTACTGAAATAAACTACCTACACCAATTATCGTGGAGCGTAATCTTATTACATCAAGGTTTTACAATAGGCTATTTTGAGAGATTCTCTTAGTTGATAGAACTTTAATTCAGTCACTTCAAATTTTGAAAAGGCGTGATAAAAAAATGCTGGCGAAATCCGACAGAATATCGATTTCACATGAGCGCACACCATTTAGCCAATATAAGTTTTTTCCACCAATGACATCGTATTCCAGTTTGATATGGTTCAAACCTAGGTCACATATGTTTTCTCTATTTGTATCAACTGTAAGCTTTTAATTTCAAACACCACACTATTGTGTCTACTTTGGGGATAGTTCAACAAGTTAAACCCAATACCACGGCTTTCATTTATTAATCTGAATGTTCTTGTTGCCGTGATTGGGTTTAACTTCCGCGCTATGCTTTCATCTGTTGCAAATTCTCAGTATCACTTATTACTTAAACGCGCATAGAATTCCATGCGCTGCCATAGACCACCATTTGATATTTTGCATCAAAGACTGAATAGGCACGGACGTTAAACCTAGGGCGGGCCACAAGATATGTCATATAAAGAAATAAGGCCCAGACTAGGTTTAACTTGTTGAACTACCCTGGGGAATGTACTGCAGTGTTTTGTTTCAATTATCTATGTTATCCAGTACATTTTCTTTGATCCCTGTAAACCATCGTAAAATATAACTTTTGTTTATATGCTGGTTTACATATACTATTTGTAATACTCATCCCAATCATTTTTAAGGTATAACATTCTATTAATTCGAATTTTATTCAGTGGGAAGGGTGTGTCCTTTAGTACATGGGCCATTCAGGGACCGCCCTGGCCGTTGGAACATTGAAGATATTACATAATTAGTGCCGAGCCGTACGGGGTATTTTATTAGGCGGTATCCTGGCGTTTGTTACCAAATGAGGATCATTAGTTTGTAAATATCGGACTTTTATTGTATAATCATATGATATCTACATAATATAATGGTATCTGTATCCTTTAGGAAGCATAAGACGAAATATTATTGTATTACTATAGACGTTCTATTCCTTGCTTTTCAAACGTGTGTATATTGGATATTTGTCATATGATCATACATTTATTTTATTATTGAATCTACATATTGCATGCATAGCCTACTAAGGTTAACAGAATTCAGACTCCTTTTTGTGGAGTAGTAACATTTTCTCTTCGTATAGCTCCAGGCCAGACAGATCTTCCTTCATTCACAAAAAGTGTTGAGGAAATCTGTATCTTTTGGGGGGTCTGCACAATGAAAATCCTGCTTTGCAATCTCGATACAGGATGATATAAATTCTGTGTCAGTGCCATGGTCAGTTTTGCCTTTTAAAGTATTACTAACAAAAATAAATTACTTGAAATAGTACCCCCAAACTTTGAAAATAAGTGCTTTAATCCATTAGATATGAACCATACTACTGAAAATGCTCCTGAGTTTGACTTTGAGACAAACAACCTTATAAATAAGTGTGACTAAAAAACAATATCAGAATTCAACAATAACATGAATTCTAAAACGGGTACTGAACTTTACTGCTACCTGGTGGTCATTTCGGCCACAGCGGAAACAACGATGTTTTTGTGGCAGCTGCATCTAGTGTTGTTGTATATAGAAATGTATCAATGCTGCTAAATGCATATGATTTCATGTCCCCTAGTTTCATTCTGAATTTGTTGTCATAGAGAGAAACCGCAGTCCATGTATATTTCCTATCACACTCCTGTATATGTGCCCTATATGCACTTAACTCAATGTACTTTGAAGGGTATTTCCCCATGACTACCATTTCGTATATATTCCATGCTTGCATCCATTGCATTATGTTTTCAATAGTATTTTGTTTCTTGTCTTCACTTTGATTTCTCCACTTTCATTCACTATAATCTGGTCAGTGTTTTTGTTTATATTCTGATTATACAGGTTGCTGGGTAACAGGTCAACAAGGTTCACATATTCACCTGTTTCTATGGCTTTTCTGATCTTGTTTGAAACTCCAACTGGGCTGCTATTGAACTAGTATGTATCCAACAGACCGAATATAATATTCGGTCTGTTATGATTGATATATTTCCTGTGGAAATCGCGGTGATATTTTTTGCACATTAATTTCTCGTTTATTACAAGAATGTTCACCTTGAAAATTGGTGAATATGTTGAAGAGATGTTCATCTTAACCGAGAAGCAAAAATATTTGTAT